GAAGCGGGCGGATCATGAGGTCAGGAGATCGAGACTATCCTGGCTAACATGGTGAAACCCTGTCTCTACTAAAAAATACAAAAAATTAGCCGGGTGTGGTGGTGGGCGCCTGTAGTCCCAGCTACTCGGGAGGCTGAGGCAGGCGAATGGCGTGAACCCGGGAGGCGGAGCTTGCAGTGAGCCGAAATCGTGCCACTGCACTCCAGCCCGAGGGACAGAGCAAGACTCCGTCTCAAAAATAATAATAATAATAATGAAATAAAATATACTGTATTTTCTTTTAATACCTAAGTTTTTTTTTAGTTTGTATAGTTCTTTAATACATCTGGACTTTATTTTATGTTATAGGATAACAGTTTGATGCTATGTTTTTTTCTACATGGAAATTTTCCCAAGGCCATTTACTGAGGCCATCCTTTCCCCACTAATTTAAAATAGGGTGAGAACCTTTCAATGGATTTTGGTACCAAGTGAGAAACTGCTTTCTTAAAAAGGATGAGCTAGTTTATGCAAACTGACATGGGCAATGTGTATCTGCCCATTTCACTGCAGCCTTGCGAGTATTGGTATGGTTGTTGTATTGATTGTAATTTAAATTAATTTAAATTACAACTTAATTTGTGTTTATATTGATACAAAGTTATTTTCATTTCTCAGTGATATAAATAATGGTATATGGAATAGTTCATTGAATAGAATCAATGCCAAAACACCTGGTATTAAAGAAAGCCTTAAAAAATAAATAGGGCCAGGCATGGTGGTTCATGCCTGGAATCCCAACATTTTAGGAGGTCAAGATAGCAGGATGACTTAAGCCCAGGAGTTTGAGTCTAGCCCGGGCAATACAGTGATACCCTGTCTCTACAAAAAAATTTTAAAATTAGCCAGGCGGGTGGCGCATGCTTGTAGTCCCACCTACTCGGGAGACTGAGGTGGGGGGATCACTTGCGCCCAGGAGGTTGAGGCTCCAGTGAGCTGGGATCGTGCCACTGCACTCCAACCTGCACGACAAAGTGAGACCCCATCTCAGAAAAATAAAGAAAGAAAGAAAAGAATAGAAGTGTGAAGACAGAGGCTCCCGCGTCACCCCTCATTTTCTTCCATCTTTTGTGTCTTTCACAGGATCTTCTGCAGGACAACTGGTCCTTATCACAGCCAGGGTGACCACAGAAAGGACTGCAGGAACCTGCCTGTATTTTAGTGCTGTTCCAGGAATCCTACCCTCCAGTCAGCCACCCATATCCTGCTCAGAGGAGGGGGCTGGAAATGCCACCCTGAGCCCTAGAATGGGTGAGGAGTGCGTTAGTGTCTGGAGCCACGAAGGCCTTGTGCTGACCAAGCTGCTGACCTCGGTAAGAGCCTCGGATGGGTCGCCAGGGTTTTGTGGACTGCCTGCTGACTGCTGTATCTTAAAGGCCCCTGGAAACAATTCTACGTTGTAGAAAAAGCACAGGTTTTATAACCCTGCCTTGGGGGCTGTGTGACTTAGAACAAGTGTCTAAACATCTCTGAGTGTCAGCTTCCTCATCTGTAAAACAGAAAACATGACCCTATCTCTTAATTCCACCAAATAAGGATTAAATGAGAATGACTGTGAAGTGCCCAGCACAATGCCTAGGACATAGAGATTTGATAAGTGACAGCTATTATTGTTTACTATTGTCTTTAAAACATTCTCTCTACCTCAAAGGAGTTCAGAAGCTGTAATAAGAGGCAAATGGGCTAATTGCTATTAGAAAGATGTGAGCAAAGTGTTATGCAAACACAGAATAAGGAGCCATTAACCCTAACTTGAACATTTGTGGAGAGTGCTTCACACAGAAGGTGGCATTTACCAAAGAGCATTGTGTACAGCAGTTTATAATGCACAAAGTGCTCTTAGGGTTCATTAATTCATTTGATCTTAAAATAGCCTTTTGAGGTAGGTGTTATTATCCCATTTGGCAGATGAGGAAACAGGTTTAGAGAGAGGGAGTGAATTGCCGAAGGCCACACAACTGGTTAAGTGGCAGAGCCAGGATTGCAACCCACACCTTCCGTCAGGTCAGGATGATCCTTGAAGATCCATCTCAAAAAAAAAAAAAAAAAGAAAAAACCCCATGAGGAACGTAACCTGGGACTTGGAATCAGAGATCTGGTTTCTAGATCTAGCACTGCTTGCACTTTTTTTTTTTTTTTTTGAGATGGAGTCTCGCTCTGTCACCCAGGCTGAAGTGCAGTGGCGCAATCTTGGCTCACCGCAAGCTCTGCCTCCCAGGTTCATGCCATTCTCCTGCCTCCTCCTTCCAAGTAGCTGGAACTACAGGCGCCCACCACCACACCCAGCTAATTTTTTGTATTTTTAGTAGAGACGGGGTTTCACCATGTTAGCCAGGATGGTCTCGATCTCCTGACCTCATGATCCACCCTCCTCAGCCTTCCAAAATGCTGGGATTACAGGTGTGAGCCACCACGCCCGGCCGCTTACACATCTTTAAAATGTGGATCATAATGAAGTTTCCTATCTCTTGGAGTCATGATGGGGGTTCAGGTTGATAGCTGGGCAAGAAAGTAGTTTTCAAACCATCAAGACAAATGTTCGAGCCTGGGCAACATGGCGAAACCCTATCTCTACAAAAAATACAAAAAAAATTAGCTGGGCATGGTGGCACATACCTGTGGTCCCGGCTACTCAGGAGGCTGAGGTGGGAAGATCACTGGAGCCCAGGAGGTGGAGGTTGCAGTGAGCCGAGATCGCACCACTGTACTCTAGCCTGGGTGACAGAGTGAGACCCTGTTTAAATAAATAAATAAATGTCAACTTATATGAAAATAACATTGGCCGGGTGCGGTGGCTCAAGCCTGTAATCCCAGCACTTTGGGAGGCCGAGACGGGTGGATCACGAGGTCAGGAGATCGAGACCATCCTGGCTAACACGGTGAAACCCCGTCTCTACTAAGAAATACAAAAAACTAGCCGGGCGAGGCGGCGGGCGCCTGTAGTCCCAGCTACTCGGGAGGCTGAGGCCGGAGAATGGCGTGAACCCGGGAGGCGGAGCTTGCAGTGAGCTGAGATCCGGCCACTGCACTCCAGCCTGGGCTACAGAGCGAGACTCCGTCTCAAAAAAAAAAAAAGAAAATAACATTTTCCCTTTAGTTGCTCTCTAGATGTGGAGAGCCCTCTCCCTCATGGAGGCTCCCTCTATAGCCCTTGGGCTGGATTAAGATCTCCTTCTCCTCCCCTCCCTGTACCCCTCCGTAGGAGGAGCTGGCTCTGTGTGGCTCCAGGCTGCTGGTCTTGGGCTCCTTCCTGCTTCTCTTCTGTGGCCTTCTCTGCTGTGTCACTGCTATGTGCTTCCACCCGCGCCGGGAGTCCCACTGGTCTAGAACCCGGCTCTGAGGGCACTGGCCTAGTTCCCGACTTGTTTCTCAGGTGAGGTTCTTTGCTCCAGTCCTGCGGGAGCAGGGAATGGGGTGGGGGTGGAGGTTGTAACTGGGGTAGAGCAGATCTTTGGACTTTTCCTCAAAGACTGCTGCTTCTGAGTCGCCGAGAACCTCTTCAACCACAGCTTTCCCTTAGGGACTGGGAACAATTTGACACCGTGAGCATTCAATATTTTTCTAATTACTTTAACTTTTTTACTATAAAATATTTAACACTTATGTAGAAAAGTCCAATACCATAAAAGGACAGCTTGGCAAATTATTATAAAGTGGATACTTATAAATACCACTGAGGAAAGGAATAGAATATTACCAGCAGTCCACAAACCCCCATGGTCCCTTCCTTCCTGACTATGCCCTCCCTCTCCCTAGAAATAACTACTGTCCTGCTTTATAATTTATTGCCAAGTATGTATTCCTAAATAATATAGTTTGGGTTTACTTATTCTTGAACCTATGTAGACAGAATCATACACATTCTTTTGTGGCTGACTTCTTTCAAGCAACATTGTGATTTTAAGACTCACCCATAACTAGTTCGCATCCAAGCATTTGGGTAACAATGGTGAGTTAAGAGGGTTCGCATTTCATGATTCGTCCTGGATATGAACCATGTTTGTCTTGCTTTTGTCCTGAAATTCCGATACCCAGTTTTATGATGAAAATTTTGTAAAATTCAACTTGAACTGCTCAGAAGAGTCTAATTGATGATACCCATTTACTGGGGACATAGTATGTGCCCAAGAACTTGACATGCACCTTCTCTCTTCCATTTAGTCATCGTTACCTTTAGAAAAAGCTGATTCTGTTAACAAGATCTTTGGAGGGAATCAGCTTTACAAACGTAGCAGTGGGTGGGGGTCATTAGGTTCACATGTCAGCCCACTAAGGGAAAAAATATTTCTGCAAAAAATCTTCACTTGTCAGAGGGAGGGTGCATGTAATCTGAGAGCCATGTTTTATGCATCCAGCTCTTGAACTGGTCTCAGCTTCAGCTGGCTGCGGTCACCTAGGAAGTTACTATGGGAAAAGTGGAAATAGTTCAGGCTCAGGAAACTGATCGGGCCAGAGGAACTGGAAGCTCAAGATCAACTCTGCTTATTTTGCTGATGGCTGGACCTAAATGCCCCAGCCACCTACTTGGGACAGGAAATGACAGGACCCTCTCAACCTTGGACTGGGAAAGGAGGGCTTCCTGCCCCTGGCAGACCCTGGGGTCCTGAGGCTACCTTAGTTGGGATCAAATGCCTGTATTGGTCTCTAGCTGTCACTCCCTCTGCTCGTTCCTCAATTTCTGCACACATCTCAGAGCTTCCTCTAGCAGCTCTCCGACCTGTTTTGTTGTTTTCTTTTCTTTCTCCTCAGGTGTGAATCAACTTCTTGGGCCTTGGCTCTGAGTTGGAAAAGGTTTTAGAAAAAGCGAAGAGCTGGAATGTGGGGGAAAATAAAAAGCTTTTTGCCCAGTGGCGTATATGGTGTTTATTGGGGGTTGGATTGAGGTGGGGATTTTAGGGTAGGCAGGCTTACAAGTTTTGGGGACTCTTTTCTGTTGACTCTTTAGTTTGGACACAGGTTGCCATAGGGCATAGGTTACTTGAGCTCTCCCCATGGTTAACTTGGCTTTGGTAAACACCTGTCTTGTTTTCTTCTACGAAATAAAATGGATATAATTACAGTTAGTTGGGCGGGTGGGGTGTCAGGTCATGGAAATGCTGTGACATAAATGCACCGTGACCTTGGCAAGTCTTGCAACCTGCAGCGCCTCAATTTCCGTAAGAGATTTGACCTATTGAATTTTCCCAGCATCAAGGTGCAAAGATTCCTCGCACTTGGGGGCCCTCGTCCAGGCTAGATGGTTGCTAACCTCGGAGCAGTCTATTTTCCCGCTTTTTCCGCGCCCAGCAGCATCTTCCCTTGCCCCTCCCAACTTCCACCCTGCGCGCAGGCGCAGATCGCCGCTGCTGTCTGTCCACCCGCGCCCCCTCAAAGCTTCCCCTAGCAACAACCTCGGGCTGAGAGCAAAGGCGGGGCGAACGCATGCGCTGCAGCTCTGTCCACCGCCAGTCGTGGGACAGAGTGCCGGGCTCCTCCCCTTGCAAGCCTAGCCCTTCTCCCCGCCTCCTCCGGCCCGGGGTCCGCGTGGCGGGGCGCGCGCGCACTGGGGCTCGGCGGCTGCTGGTCTCCCAGGCCGCGGCAGTGAGAGGAGAGGGCGGGGCTGAGTCCTTCGCTGCCCCGCCCCCTTTGGCCCGGCGTCCCTACCGCGCCTGCGCGCTCCCGCCCGGTCTCCATCTTGGAATTGGGAGGAAGAGGGAGAGGGAGACCGGGACGAGACCTGGGCTGTGGTGCGGAGAGAGGCTGAGACGGAGAAGAGGAGAGGCAGAGAGGGCGCGGGGACCGTCAGCAGCGCCTTAGCTATAATCTTTCAGCTATTCTCGGAAGAGAGAAGGGAGAGAGAGGAGGCCGGGGCGGGAGTGGGGGCTGTCACCCTCGGACCCCGGCGTGAGAGGGGCCGTGCGGCCGGACGTCCTCGGGGTGGGCCCCCAGTCGGTGGCCGAAGACCTAGGGCTCAGGCTCCTGGGTCCCAAATTTCCAGGCTTTGCCCCTCGCTTCTCAGATACCCGGATATCAGTTCTCATAGTCCAGATATCCGGGACTCGGGTCCCAATCTCTCTAAACCTGGGTCTCTGTTTCATAGAATTTCAAATATCGGGTTCAGGCCCCTGCGTGCACCAGTATCCGGGGTTCATTCCCCAGGCGTTCAAATATCGGATTCAGTCTCCATCCCGTTCAAATATTCGGGGTTCAGACCCCGCAATCAGAAATCCGGAATTCGGCAGCTGTCGCCCTCGAGGAGGGGGAGGACTGGACCGCGAGGTCAGATTAGGTTGTCACCCCCTCCCCTCCAGGGGAGGCTTCCCGGGCCCGCCCCTCAGGAAGGGCGAAAGCCGAGGAAGAGGTGGCAAGGGGAAAGGTCTCCTTGCCCCTCTCCCTACTTGGCAGAGCCGCTGGAGGACCCCAGGCGGAAGCGGAGGCGCTGGGGCACCATAGTGACCCCTACCAGGTGAGACACGGGGTGCAGGGGCGCGGGTCCCTGTGTCTAGCTCAGAAGAAAGGGTGCGCCTTTCTGAGAAGCTGGACTTGGGTAGGCCCTCTCCTCAGGATGGGGAAGCCCAGCTCAGCCAGTGGTCAGCCTCTGGCTAGCCTTGCCTTCTGTTGCCACCCCCTTCCCCTTCCTCTTCCCTTCATTGTGTCTGGTTGGTGGGGGACCTCAGGTGACAGGGTCTCTGATGTCACCGGGGTTCACACCCTAGGGCGCTTCAGCTAATCAGATGGATTTACACTTCAATCTTCTCGCCTTCACTTTGCCCCTCACAGCCGCCTCTCCTCCCTGATATGCCCCTTTCTCCTGCCTATTCTGCGGTGTTGAATCCCATGCCTCTGATTCCCCTGGTGGGTCTGCTTATCTGCTTTTCAGGCCTGGTCTGGTTGGATTTCTTGTCCTTGCAAGGAAGTGTGTGTATATATGTGTGTGTGTGTGTGCTTGGAGGTGCCTGGCAATGTTTTCCCCCAGCTGCAGTTCCCTTCCAATCTCTTGCTCTGATGGTATCAATAATCCCATCTATTTGTCAAACGATCTGTCTTTTACAAAGTGCTTTGACAGCCATTCTCTCATGTGACATCCCCGCATTCACCGTGTGGCGGCCTCTTTTATTGGCATCTTCCCATTTTACAGTTGAGAACGTTGAGGCCCAGAGAGGTTGCCCAAGGTCACACAGTGGCAAAACCAGAATTTGAACTCAAGTCCTCAATCACATCTTTCCCTGATGCATGCCTGTCTCTTGCCATCTCTTTTCCTCTGAGTTTGGGCTCGGCCAGGGGTCCCCAGGAGACCAGGCTGGGATGGGGTTTAAGAATGGGGGTGAGATGAGCTTCCTTTCCAGGAGGGCTCTACTCAGAAGCTTTTCCTGATGGGAGACTCAGGTTTTTGCCACTGCCTCATGGACTTTTCATCCACTGTGACCTTCATCTTTACCCTGATCCCAGGGTTTGGCCTGGATTCCTGAGAGGGCTGGCTTCTGACAAATGGTAGCACTACTGGCATCTTTTAACTGTTCAAGCCAAGCTGTTGGGGTAGAATGATCCCCCAAAGGATTAAAGCTTTGTGGAGACCTTGGAGGCAGGAAAGGAAAAATCCATATGCTGAGTGTCTGCATGGTGTTCCTAAGTATGAGATCTCATTAAAATCTTACAACAGCTCCATGCTGTAATCCATTTCACTGAAGAGAAGACCAAGAACTAGAAGGAACTTATTCAAAGCCCTGTTGCTGTACATTGCAGATGGGATGTACTGGTAGCATAGCTTAGGAACAGATAGATATGGGTTTCCTCATCTGTAGAGTGGAGGTAACGTTGTCCATTTTGGAAGGTGGTTATGATTTAGCACTGACCTTTGTTATTGTTCAAGTGTTTGTTGTTATTATGGGGAAGGGGACCTGCACGATGTTTTGCTAGTGGGTGGCACCCCTTCCATGTGGCCTTGGGTCCTAGGTTAGCATTCTGGGGCCCTGTATTGGTAAAGAGGTCAGGAAGATTCCTTTGGCAAGTTGAGAGCACCTGCCTTTGTGTGTGGGTGTGTGGTGCTGGTGAGGGGTGCTTGGCACTATTGCTGGCAGAAGAGAGAAAAGGGCCTTACTTTGAGCAACCTGGGAGCTGCTGAGGGCTGAGCAGAGAGCAATCAATCAGTCTCCCAGGCTATTCTGAGCCCTCTGCACCCTGGGGGCCCACTGGAGAGTCAGGCTCCCTCCTTGCCCTCCAGCTTCCAGTTGGACTGAGGAGACAAAATTAACGACACAACAGGAAACAATGCATGACAGAATAAATTACATGCTAAAATTGTTAGGTGCTTTTAAGTAGCTAGAACTCTGCCCCAGGAGTCCAGCTCTGCTGAAGGCCCCTTTGTGCCCAAATTCTGACAAATGCTTAGGCTGGATGGAGCCTGTTTGGAATCTCCTTGAGGATTTTGGTTCTGGTATCCTGCAGGAACTTTCTCTGGGTGTTTGGCTGGGTGCCCTAGGCACTCTTCCCAATGGCTGGAGTGGTCAGGACAGGCTTCCTGCAAGAGGGGAGCTGAACTTGGAGTGACAACTGAGAGAGTAATGGGCAGGCCTAACCAGGGAGCAGAAGGTTCTGTTTTCTGACCTTGGAGAAGTCCTTTTTCTTTGTGCCTCAGTGATCTCACCTAGGAAATGGTGATCATGATTCTGCCCTGTCTGTTTTGAAGGGCTCTGAAATCATAATGATGGAGGACCAGCTTTGGACAAGGCACTTAACCTTGCTGTGCCTGTTTCTTTATCTGTAATATAGGGGAAATCATAATACTTGCTTCATAAGGTTGTGGTGAGGACTGAATAAGAGATAATGCATGTAAGGTGCTCAATAAATGTTATTTGTACCCTGCAAATGTCTTGTACCTCTGTGTGATGCTTATGCAATTGGACAGGACAAGTAAGGTGGCCCAGACCACAGAGAGGCCCTCACAGCCAGATGCCATTTATATCCCTATTCTTCCCATTCTAGATCTCCCCCTGCCCTTTTTGAGAGTGACTCTGCGGGCCCAGAGGGGCCTGTACCCACTTCTAACAATGGACGGATTTCCACCGCCTCCGGCCTGGCCATTTCCTGTTCTCTTCCAGGGTGTGAGAGGTTGAGGGAGGGGGGGGCCTCAGCGCCAAGGGGAACAGAAAGGTGCCTGGAAACAGTTGGGGTATGGGACTTATGGGACAGGACACTTGGGGCTCTGGAGTGCTGCCTGGGAGGCAGAATGTTTTATCCTTGAGGGCAGATACAGGGGCTATAGGGAAATGAGAACTTGTTGAGTGCTGAAGGGGGTGGTGAGGATGCTTAGCTTCCCAGAATCTTCCTAGCAGTTTTAGGGACTCCAGGGACCCAGCCCGCGTGATCTGGTTGCCAGGGCAACTTCATTTTTTGGAGCTTTGATGTCGTTCCTAATCTCCCCCTCCCCTTCCTCAGCAGTGCCTCCCCCTCATCAGGGAATGAGGGGAGGAGATGGCAGAAACTTGATGGGTCCCTTCCTCTCCCTGAAGGCTCAGTCCTTGCTCTAAGGGTCCCATTTCCATTCCCCAGGCCAGGCCCCACTCTCAGGGCCCCCAGGGGCCACCATGCCAGCTGGGGGCCGGGCCGGGAGCCTGAAGGACCCAGATGTGGCTGAGCTCTTCTTCAAAGATGACCCAGAAAAGCTCTTCTCTGACCTCCGGGAAATTGGCCATGGCAGCTTTGGAGCCGTATACTTTGTGAGTTGGGTCCTGGGACGGTGTAATAGGGATTGGGGACTCTTCCTACCCCTGTGGACTTCCCAACAGCCCTTGCACACTACTCCATCACACTGGTCTTTCCTGCCTTCTCCTGCTGGGCCAGCAAGTCTTCCCATGCCTGGCTCTCACTG